TCAACGCTATATCCCTAGATCATATTGAAAATTCTTTTCCGAATATAAATTTCTATTTATTGTCAATCATTCGTATGAATGAGCAAAACTGTGTATATTTTTTTCTCATTGAATTCTTTCTCTTTGTTTTTGCACAAAATCAGAAAATACATTTGACAATTGAAACAAACAAAAGAAAAAAAAAACAAACATATACAATCATCGGGAAAAAAGATCATGATAGAAAATAAAAAATAAAATAAAATAAAACTTTTGTTTTCTTGTTTTTTTTATTAGAACTTTTTTTGCATTTTATATTTAAGTGAAATTCGTTTTAAGTAAAAGGAGATAACAATTGGCTAAGTAATTCATTTTTTGATAGAGCACGAACAAAATCTTCTTTTGTTATAAGTCCTTGTTCATTACAATGACATGAACTTATAAAATGTTTGAGCAATTCAATTGATTCAAATTCATTACCATTACCACCCAACATTCGTAATACATACTAAAAAGAAACAAACAATATAAATTAATCTATTATGTTTTAGTATTTCCGTGTAAAATACTTTAGCCATAATATCTATTTCCGATTGATCAATATAACCGTTTTTATCGACATCTAGAAAATATATCAAATAGAATTTGAGTTTTGTTTTTTGTAAAATATGTGAGTAGAATTTTACCATAAAGTTGAAATGTATAATCAAGTTTTTCTTCCATGGATCCTTTTGTTGTTAATAAAAATCCAATAACAAATTCTCTAAAATCTATATTTAGACAGAAAACAAACAATAGTCATAAGAAATTATAGCTAGAAAAAATAAAAAATATTCTTCGTACCAACTTTGCCATCATTATCGGTATCAAATGCTTTATAAATAGCACTAACAACATGTTCGATCTTATCCATGTCACATGTACTTAAATCTTTATAGCATTTTAGCATATCTTTTTTTGTCATTTTACCATTAGGACATCGAGACTAAATAAAAATAGAAAATGAAGAATCATAATTAGAATTTCATGACATTTAATCTTGAATTATTGTCAAGTTTCATTGTAACTTAGATAGATAAAAAGTATGCTCTTGAATATTTCATAAGTGCTGAACTACTTAAAAAACATCAGTTTTTTTATCTTAGACTTTTTTGTGCTAATGAATAAAACAGGAAAATATTCAGTCAATAAATCAAAGAAATTTTTTTGTTTTTTCTTTTTATTTTATTTTATATCCTTCAGTATCTAACTAAAAGCCAAAAGAATTCCTATTAATTTAAGAAGAATCAATTTAGAACATATGATTTCGTTTACTTTTTTAGCTACATAAAAAAACAAAGAAACACAAATCTGCTCTTAAAAAGTCATTGTGCTCCTTTTACTTTCAAGAAAGCTTAGTGAAAAGGACGTTCTGTACTTAATATTTTTCATTAGTTCAATCCATGTCATTATATATGATTCATAAATCAATTAAAAAAGAAATCTGAAAATTAACTTTTTTAAAACTTAGTTACATACATAAAAATAGAATAAAAAAGAAAAGCTTTCGGTAAATTTCTTTTTTGTTTTTTTTTATGTTGATTTAACATTAATAGAAATGATATTGTTTTTATACTTTTTATATTATTACCTTGAGTTCATTATACCAACTTGTGATTTCAGAAGATTTCATTCTTGTTTTACGTTTAATTATAGATACTGTGGCGTCGTCCAGCGTCGCCGTATTGAAATGATTACCCATATATAGATCATTCACCGGTGACAATATTATAAAATCTTAAAATAAAACAAAAAAGACAAGTTTAAAAAATGCTCTTCAAAAATACACCAGTAGTTTTTATTAGAGCAAAATTTGTTTTCTTGTCCATTTAATGTTGCACTTTTTATACCTATGTTTTTTTCTTTATTGACGTCATTCTTTGTATTCATCGGATTAATAATCAACGACAGTATGAATCGTCGTTAGTAACAGGTAAATGTCACTGTACGTTTGCTTCGTATATAATTAATTATATAGTTAGACAAAATTATAAAAAATAATTTTGTTTCTATAAACACCTGTGTAAGTCACAAAATCTTTCCTATGTGCATGACTTTATGAGATAGACAGACAAAAAAACATGTTCGACGTAAAATTGTCGCATGTTATTATAATAATTTTATCAAAAACGAAAAAGAAAACTAGGGCTTTGTGTGCTAACAAGAGTATGCTGAATTAAACAGAAACATGCAAGAAAGAAAAAAAAGAATAATAAAGAAAAAGAAATACAAACAAAGCATAGAGATACAACTATTCACCTGTACATCTATAAATCAATTGTATTTTTCAACGTTGTTAGATTCAATCAAACAAATGTTTGTTTGTTTGTTTGTTTTAATAAAACTCCTGCAATTCTTCTGACGTACATTATATATGTTTTTATGATTCATATATATAAAAAAAAGCCTCATTATAATTGAGGTTTCTTCTAGTATGACAACTCCTTTATATTATTCTTAAATAAAAAAGAAACCAGATCAAGGATGTTCTTATCTCATCTTAATAATTCGTACCTACTAATTGAAAATAACATTACTGAATGTGCTTATCTTTTTTTGACTAAAATGATCTTTTTCGTTGTTAATAAGGGGATCGCTCATTGAAATATAATAATTAAACTATATAACCTACTGTTTTATATGAATGAATGTTCAGATGGCAATGAAAAAGAAAAAAAAATTGAGTTTTCTCGATGAAGAAATAATCATTTCTTTTTTCTCATTCATGTTAACGTTTGCAAATAGAAAAAGTAAAAAAAAAAAAAAGAACAAAAAAAGAAAAGTTTTTCATTATTCTTTGATGTAAACTTGTAATCAGGCAACGTAGTGATGTAGCAATAATTCTGACACAAGCTTAAAAGCTAAATGTGAAAAATGTTAAGAACCATAAAAATAAAAACAAAGAAAAAAAAAGAAGCAAATGGAATATATTAAAAAAAAAATACAATACCATTTTACGCATGATTAGGAATTATCAATCGTAGATGAATGATTTTATGGATGTCCGATTATAGTTTATCAACATAAAAACAAATATGATACTTTCATTATCTTTCTTTTTTCTTCTTTAAATAGTGTTTTCCATTTTTGTTTTATGCACTTACGATCTTGCTTCGTTTGTTTCTTTTTTCTCTATAGCTAAATGACACAACTTCTAGGAAAAAAAACTAGAAAAAATGAGACAAAGAAAGAGAGAAACAACTACAAAAGACATGATAAGTATTCATCATCAGACATCATTCTCATTTCTACTAAACACCTACGTATTCACTACCGGAAACTGCTCAACGTGAAACGAGAGAATAAATTAAGTGAGAAATGCAATAAACTGTCGTTCTATGTCTGTTAATGAACATCGAAATGACACAACGATGTTTTATGAATTACAAATTCTCTTTAAACGATAATACTCTAATTATTACTCAATATTTCTTTGTATTTCAAAATCCTATTCTATATTTATATTGATCATGATTTATAAATTTTAAAGTTTCTTTCTTACAATAATATTGAATCATAATGGATACTGTCAGTTTTAATTATGAAAGATATAGGGTTACTTTCCGGATCTGACTGTCAAAATACTTACTATTATAGTTACAAATGAGACAATTGTGACCCAAAGTACATTTGTGATGATTATATATTTGTAACTAAGAAAAAAACAGAGAAGAACTACAAGTTTTATAAATAACCCATAGTTCTTACACACACCTCTGCTATTTTTTTCTAGTTAGCAGTTCACTTTAATTATATATTAAAAAAATAGCAACAACAACTACTTGTAACCGACGTTGCTTTTTCATATTATTTGAAAAAGAA